GGCAGGCACGACACGATCTGACACGAGCCAACACCAGGCACGGCCCGCGGTGGCCCGGCACGGCACGGTGCCCACCTTTACCTATGCCCATTTGCCTATTTCAACTAGTGTACGTTATAAAAGACTCATAGTTGAAGACATGTCTAATTAAATATATAATCATAACAAATCGTGTAATTGCACGGAAAAATTTATATGTATGATCTTTAGAAGCATTTATTTGAAGGATCCCTGATTTATCTCATTTGTTAGCGGTGTTTTTTTTTTTTTTTTTTTTTAATCAATTTTATCTTAAATTTAAGGAAGATCTAATTTCCCCTTTGATAAATGAAACTTATTTATTATGAAGATAAACTTTGATTTACTCCATTTAGTTTAATTAATAAAATTAATTCATTGACAAAAAGGCCACAATTACAAACAGGGAAGCCATTAAAATACATGGGATGTCGATTGACTCCGTAATAAAAATATGATTAGTTGTTGGTGTACCCATTTCATAAAGATAATTAGTTGAGTAATGGAGGTTGCTGATGATCGAATAGGAGATATTATAATGGACGAAGGGTTATTCCAATGAAAAATGAGGTTACATACTTTTGTGAGTCATACTAGCTTTTCTTTTAATAATCAAAACAAAAAAGCGAGATTACTTGAATGAACAAATAAAGTAACTTTTTTTTTCATTAACTAATGTTAGAATTGATCAATGTTATTCTTATGGAAAAAAAAAAAATTAGGTTATCACCCAGGTGAATAAATAAAGTTACTCATTTGATTAATCAGACTTACCCTTATTAACAAATTTGATTACATGAGTGACCTTATATTATCATGTGCCTGACCTAGGGGTGGGACTTTTCAAACCGAACCGTGAAACCGTCTGTTACCGAACCGAACCATCACGGACCGAACCGTTTATAACCCGCTAATTTTAAACCGAAAACTGAACTGAACCGTATAATGTCAAACCGAAACCGAACCGAACCAATTAATGTTAACTCGTTACGAACCATAAACCAATAACAAACCAAACCGTTTATAAACCGAAACCGTTTGAACCGATTAATGTTAACCCGCTAACTGTTTAAACCGAACCGTTTATAAACCGAAACCGTTTAAACCGTAGGAAAAAACCGTTTAAATCGAACCATTTACAACCCGCTAAGCGTTTAAACCGAACTGTTATAACCCATTAAACCGTTTAAACCGAACTATTTTCAAACCGCAACCCGTTTAAACCGATCCGATTACAAACTATTTAAACCGAACCGTTTACAACCCGTTCCATTCAAATTGAACTATTTACAACCTTTAACAATTTGTTAGAATTCCACGAAATATATTTGATGTTTAATGTAATTTACTAGTACAATTTTTTTACATATAATTATTGATTTAAATTTGTAAATTTTTTTGCTATTATAAAATTAAAATTATATTCTTGTATAACTAAATTAGGAGTTATAAATTAAATAAAAAAATGAAAAAATTTGGCTACCCACCCACCACCGTAACCCACCCTAACACCACCCCCGCCGTCACCCCAGACCCACCCTAACACTACCCCCCACCCACCACCGTTACCGTAACCCACCCCCACCCCACCACCGTTACCGTAACCCACCCCCACCCCACCAACGTCAACCCAGACCCACCCTAACACCACCCCCACACCCACCATAATTACCGTAACCCACCCCACCCCACCCCACCACCCACCGTAAATAAAAAACCCAGACCCAAACCTTACCCCACCCCATCCACCACCGTCACCGTAAATAATAAAAACCCAGACCCATACCCCACCCCACCTACCACCATCACCGTAACGTACCCCACCCCACCCCCTTAACAAACCCCACCCCACCCCACCCACCACCGCCACTGTAAAAAAAAAAAAAAAAAAAAAAAACAGACCCAACCCCAACCACACCCACCACCGTCACCGTAACACACCCCACCCCACCCCATACAAAAAAATCGAAAAAAAAACCCAAACCCACCGTAACCCCACCCCACCCACCCCCACGAAACCCAACATCCTCAAAACCCCCCAACTCACTCTAATTTCTCACCCACCATAAAACTCCCTCCCTCCCTCCCTCCCTCGAAAAATCCTCCCTCCCCACCCACCCGAACCCAGTCTAACCGCCGCCACACCCACCCTAACTCGGCCCCCTCCGTTGCCCACAACTTGGAAAAAAATTAAAAAGAAAAACAGAAAATAAAAAAAGGAAGAACGAAAACACCTTATATATTAATCCTGAATTTGGCCTCAAATTTGGTTTTAAAAGGCCAAATTTGATCATGAAACAACTAGATCTAGAGTTTCGTGGTCGAATTTGACCATAAAAACCGTCGTGCGTGGTGTCGGTGGACGGAGACGGAGAAACGAGATGGAAGAAAGGAGAACATAGACGGAAGAAGGGAGAAGAAGGAAGAAGAAGAAAGGAAGAAGGAAGAGGAGATGAGAGAGAAAATGAGAGAGCAGTGAGCATATTATTGATAATATTACAGAAGAGGATTAAGAAAACGAGAGAGAAATCAAAAAGAGTACTAAAGAGACGATGGTAAGAGTGATCTGATTGGTGGAAAAGAAAACACACGGATCGTGAATTGGAATGTGTGCGATGATAGGCCGTTAGATGACATGCAAATCAATGGCTGATATTTAATATAAGACGGTGACACGGATCATGGGATAATGGATTTGGATAGTATGGTTTTTTTATTCATAGATACGTACTAATAAAAACACTACTGTACTCTTAACTTTATGTAACTTATAAATTGTAAGAAACACAAATGTTTGGAAATTGGAATTGATTCAATATGACATATTTAATGTATATTAGTTATATGTATATCAGTATATGTAATAAATAATAATGTATGGTACGATTGGTATCATACTATCATTGGTATGTATAGATAATCGATAAATGTATCTGATTATTAAAACTTAAAACAGTTGATGATCGATCTAATTGAATACTTCTACTTCCCCACCCGTTTTCTTTAACTTGCAAGTTGCAACATATATATGTTGCAGCCTTGTAGGCACGTAATCTTAAAAGGTGATTAGAGAGGGTAAGACAACAGAGTAATTCAGCAATATAACTTAAACACCAAAATTATGGAATAGTTACAAACAATTGTCAATTATTACTTTATTAGACTAATGGGAAATTGAATAATCGTGATTTTAATTAAACATCCGAATATAGTTCCGTAACATTAAATTATTAGTTTATTACAATATCAATTATCGATTTATCGTATTCAAAGTACCAATTCATCAAATCATGGTTATGACGTGATCTTTAAAACAATTAAAACAAGAAGCTGATAGCCTGATAATATTTGATAATGAAACAATAATACATTAATACCTTATAAATTTGTAATAGACTAATATTTAATAAACAACAACAAGACTATAACCACATTTGAAACATAACACATTAACATGATATAGAATGAATGAGAATTTCTGTAATTCTATATAATCTGATATCTGAATCGATTTATCGTATTCAAAGTAGCAACTCATCAAAACATGGTCATGACACGATATCTAAAACAATCCAACAAGAAGCTGATAACCTAATAATATATATTTAATAATGAAACAATAATACATTAATACATTATAAATTTGTAATAGACTAATATGATAATATCGAATAAACAACAACAAGAGTATAACCAAACTTGAAACATAACATATTAACATGATATAGAATAATTGAATAAATGAAGATTTGTGTAATTATATATAATCCGATGTCTGAAAATAAAGTGACGAAGTCCCAACTTTATATAAAACGAAAATAGCTAACCGGTCAAAAATCTCTTAAAACCCAATTTCTACTCGATCCATTATTTTTTTCACCAACCTATGCCGACCCGCTAATGAAATGGAAATACTAGTCCCAACTTGATATAAAACAAAACGCGCTAACTGGTCAAAACCACTTTTTAGAACTCGATTTCAACCCGATCCAATTTAACTGATTACCAAACTAACCCGAACGATTTTAGCACCAAACCGAGTATAATCCGAACCGATATGAATCGAACTAGCATTAACCCGGGTAAACCCGCCCCTGAACCGACCCATTTCAAAATAATCCGTTCATGACCCGAACCGATATGAACCCGGACCGACGTTGACCCGGTAAAACCGCCCCTGAACCGATCCGTTTCAAACCGGTCAGATCATGACCCGAACCGTTTATAAACCGAACGTGCATTGACCCGGGTAAACCCGCCCCTGATCCGACCTGTTTCAAACCGACCCGATTATTAACCGAACCGTTTAAAAACTGAACCGGCATTGACCCGAGTAAATCCGCCCCTGAAGCGACCCGTTTCTAACCGATCTGATTATGACCCGAACTGTTTATAAACCGAACCGTTTATGACCCGAACCGAATTTAAATCGTACAAAAATAAACCGAAATCGAACCGACCTGTGACTAATCAAAACCGAACTGAACCGACCCGCCGTCTAAATGAAACCGTTTTAACCCGAACCGTTTCAAACCGAAACCGTTTCAAACTGAGGTCAAACCGAACTGCCAGACCGAAGTCCCACCCCTAGCCTGACCACACACAAAAGTTGCGTGCCTTGAATGTGATAATAATAGTTTTTCTTTCTCTAAAAAATATATACTTCATATGCATGTATAGAGTCTCAAAAACTCCCTCTTCCTATTATATTGTTTCAAAAAAACTCCTTCAAAAGATAGGGTTTCGCTCCATTGCAAAAAAGAATTGACCTTCGTCCTGTGCGGCCAATCTCCGGTGCTATGGTGGATGATATTGTGGATAAGTGTTCTGCCCTTTGACTGAACGATGACGAGGGGAGTGTGGTTGATTTAGGCACCATTAATAGCCCAAAGAATGAAGAGAACCTTGCGCTATTGTTGGTGGGAAGATTATGCACGTCTAGATCATATAATGTTGAGGCTTTTAAGTGAACAATGTTCAAGGTCTGGGCTCCGATAGAGGGTTTGATTATCCGAACGCTAAGCCCTAACCTATATGCGTTCCAGTTTTTTTATTGGCGGGATAAGGAGAAAGTGTTTAATGGGAGATCATGGTGCTGGGATAATAATCTGATTGTGTTGAATGAAGTCCATGGAGACGAACAGCCGGAGCAGGTAAACCTCCAATTATCTCCATTCTGGGTAAGGGTTTGTAAATTACCTTTTAATTGTCGATCTGATGAATATGTTAAAGCTTTGGTTACTGGTCTGGGGGAATTGATTGAACTAGAACCGGATGCCCTTGGTTTAAACCGATATAGGAGAGTGCAAGTTTTGATTGATGTGGATAAGCCTTTGCGCAGATATCAAAGAGTTGGTGATAAAGGAGGGAATGAGATTAAGATTGAATTTAAATATGAACGCCTCCCTTATCTTTGCTTTGCTTGTGGTGTAATTGGGCACTCTGAGAAAGATTGTTTGATGGTGTCCGAAGAAGAAAAGGAGAAACGCTTGGGGTGGGGCTTATTCCTTAGAGCCTCACCTAGGAAGGGGAAAGCCAAAGAGTTGAGGAGGTAGATCAAATCTCTAAGGGAAGGCGCCAATTGTTTGTAACGAGGGAGTCAGAACAGAACATTAATACTATTGATAGTGTGGAGAAAAACTTGTCTATGTGTGAGAATAAGGTTGGGAGTGGTGAAATTGTAGAAGCTACAACTACTGTTGAAGAAAAGGAAGAAGAGATCATTGTGAGTGGAATTATATGTAATGAGGTGGCCCCAAGTAAGATTTTTTCCTTTGCAGCAATAAAAGGTTCTTCTTCTAAGTTGAGTGGAGGGAGGTTTGTTTGGACCAACCCCGCCAAGGCCAATGAGCCTTCTTTGTTGGAACTGCCGGGGGATGGGCAACCCCTGGATAGTTCGTAGACTCTGGAAGTGGAGTACTCGTTATGCCCCTGACATGGTGTTCATTTCAGAGACTATGATCTGTAAATTGGATGTTGAAGGTATTAAGGGGAGGATCGGTTTTTCTAGTGCTTTTGGTGTTTCTAGCAGGGGAAAATCGGGAGGTCTTTGTCTTTTTTGGAATGAGGTAAAGGTGGACTTTACGCTTGTGTCTTTCTCTCAAAACCACAATTGTGGTGATGTCATGAGAAAAGGTGTGAAATGGAGATTTGTCGGTATTTATGGATGGCCGGAATCGGCTAATAAATGTCGAACTTGGAAACTCATACAACCTTTATGTGAGGGAGTTGATTTGCCAATCATTTTTGGGGGAGATTTCAATGAAATTCTCATGTATGACGAGAAGGAGGGGGGTTCAGATCGTGAGAGGAGGGAAATGGCGAATTTTTGAGAAGCTATGAATGTTTGTGAGCTTAAAGACTTGGGATATATGGGCTAATGGTGGACTTGGGAGAGGGGTGATTATGAGGTTTCGAAGGTTCGTGAATGCCTTGATCGATACATTGCTTCATCGTCTTGGATTAGACTCTACCTGGGGGCTTATGTTGAGCATTTTATTAAGATACTGCTCTGATCACACGCCAATCCTCACTCACATTGATGATAGCAAAGGTCGTAAGAAAAAGGGCAAGAAAAGATTTAAATTCGAGACGGCGTGGTTATTGGACGAGTCTTGTGAGCCTACTGTGCGTGAAGCTTGGAATGCCGCTGCAGGGAATAACGTTGTTTTAAAACTGATGATGGTGGGGAATCGGTTGCTGGACTGGAGTAAAGGGAAATTCGACGGCATTGGTCTGAAAATTGAAACCACTGAAGCAGCCTTACGTGTAGCCCAGTAGAACAGTATTTCTTCCAAGAGCTTGATGCTTTACATGAGAAATATGAAGCTAACTGGTTTATTCGCTCCAGAGTCGCTGAAATTCGAGATGGGGATAAGAATACAAGCTATTTCCACCACAAGGCATCACAACGAAGGAAGAAAACACTATTGATTGGCTCTATAATTCGAATGGGGAGTGGCAAGAGGAGGAAGGGGAGATCGAAGGGGTGGTATATATGATTATTTCAAGGGGCTTTTCATTTCTATTTTACCATCTAATGCGGCTCTTGATGACATTTTGCAACATGCTCAAGCTCATATTTCTCCAGAACAAAATTCAGATTTGCTTAAACCATATTTTAAGGAGGAAATCTTCTTTGCTCTACAGCTCATGCACCCTTGTAAAGCCCCGGACCCGATGGTATGCATGTAATTTTTTATCAAAAATTTTGGCATATTATTGGTGACGATGTGACTAATTTTGTTAGTGATATTCTTAATGGCTCTTCATCCCTGTAGCTGATTAATAACACTAACATTGTTTTAATCCCGAAAGTGAATGCCCCGAAATCGACTGCTGAATTTTGTCCTATTAGCTTGTGTAATGTTTTATATAAGCTTGTATCTAAAGTGTCAGTGATGAGGTTGAAGTTGATTTTTCCTGGTATTATTTCTGAGAATCAGAGTGCATGCGTTTGTCTCGGGTAGATTAATAACTGACAATGCCCTTATTGCTTTGGAGTTGTTTCATACGATGAAAAAGAGGAGTAAGGGGAAGAAAGGCACCATAGCTCTGACGCTCGATATGAGTAAGGCGTATGATAGAGTTGAGTGGGGGTTCTTGAGAAAGCTGTTACTCACCATGGGTTTCGATGGAAAATGGGAAAACTTGGTCATGAGATGTGTGTCGACGGTGAGATACTCTTTCATTGTCAACGGCAAGATATGTGGCGATGTGGTTCCAACCCGGGAACTTAGGCAAGGGGACCCCCTATCCCCTTACCTATTTATTATAGTGGCAGATGCTCTTTCTTCAATGTTGCAGAGTAAAGTCCAAGCCGGGTTGCTTCATGGAGCAAGGGCGAGTCGCAATGGTCCGATAATATCTCACCTTCTTTATGCAGTTGATAGTCTCCTTTTTGCTAGAGCTAATCGACGAGAATGTGAAGCCATAGTTGATATCCTCAACAAATACAAAGTAGCATCCGAATAGGAAATTAATTATGAAAAGTCGGAAATTTCTTTCAGTAAAGGGGTAAGCTAGACAAGAGCAAAAAGATGAGTTGATGAGCGTTCTGAAAATGCGACAAGTTGATAGACATGAGAAGTATCTTGACATTCTGACTGTGGTCGGGCGTTCGAAGAAAGTGGTGTTCGAGGCTCTGTTGGATAGGATATGGAAAAAGCTCCTAGGGTGGAAAGAAAAGCTTTTATCCCGTGCCGAGAAGGAGGTTCTTTTGAATTATGTCATTCAAGAAATTCCGACATAACTTATGGGTGTTTATAAATTTCCTTGCACGGTGATTGAGAAAATCCGGAGTGCAATGGCTAGATTTTTTTGGGGCCAAAAAGGTACAAGACGGAAGATACATTGAAGGAGTTGGGCAGCCCTTTGTACTCCAGGGATGCGATTTAGGGATCTAAGTGTGTTCAATGACGCTCTTCTTGGCAGACAAGCATGGAGTCTTGTTCATAAAGAGGATTCTCTCCTAAGCAAAGTAATGAAAGCAAAGACTACCCAAACTATTCTTTCCTTGATGCATCTCTGGGATATGCGGGATGATATTCTTGGTGAAGTGTTTGGAGCACGAAATCACTTGTGAAAGAAGGTGTTATATGGATGGTTGGGATTGGCTCGATGATAAACATTTGGGGTAAGGCTTGCTGATGAAGGTGGAAGGTTTGTCACAACCCAGGCGTGTGAAGGCTTAAATCAGGTCTGTGATCTTATCGATTTTGATAGGTTGGAGTGGAATGTGGACCTAATTATCTCACATTGTAATGAGAGAGATCAGAAGTTTATCTTATCAATTCCATTGAGTGTGAGGGAACTGAAAGATATGTTGACTTGGGCGTTTTCGAATGATGGTTTGTATTCGATGAAGACAACTTACATGCTTGGAAAAGGGTGCAACTTCGATGACTTTCATCAGGTTTGGAGAATTATTTGGGCATGGAAGTGACTCCTAAAATGCGGCATTTCCTATGGCGTATTTTCACAAGTACGCTTCCCACTAGAGCTCTTCTGGTTGAGAGTCACCTTTTAGATGATGCCTTATGTCCATGGTGTAAGATTGAAATTGAGACCTGTAATCATGCTCTCTTTGACTGCTTGCGTGTGAAAGAACTATGGGAGGACAGTGGTTGTGTGGGCTTGCGGAATAATGGGAGGACTGATTTTTGTAGTCTGATTGAGAGTTGGGATAAAGCAGATGTCAAGCTGAGGCACAGAGTAGCCTTTCTGATGTGGTGTATGTATATGGGGAAAGAGGAACCTGAAGGTGTTTGAACTTTGAGGATAAGTTCACTCCAAATACCATCCTCTTGAATCGGGTCACCAGGTATGTCGATGAGTATGGGCAATATAATAAGAAGATCTACTCACTTCCTACATTGAAGCGGGCAGCATAGTAGTAAACGTTGGATTGCTCCTCCTAAGGGAGTCATTAAAATAAACACTTATGCTTCCTTAGCTGTGGAAGGTTGGGTGGGGCTTGGAGCAGTTGCTCTTGACAAGGATGGAAAGGTTTTGCTTCCGGCCACTCGTAGATTGAGAGCTTGGTTGCCACCCGAAATAGCTAAAGCTAAGGCTCTATGTTTGGCTGCTCGTCTTGCAAAGAAGTATGGCTACAGGGATATTATAATTGAAACGGATTGCCAAGTTATAATGAACCGTCTTTCTAAAGGTGCAGTATATTTTTCTGATCTAGATGGTGTCTTGGAGGACATTTTATTTTTATGTAGTAGTTTTAATTTTGTTTCTTGGGCTCATATTAAGAGGGATGGCAACAATGTTGCACGTCACTTAGCTAGATTAATGCCCTTTGGTGTAGAACAAGTATGGGTGAATCATTGTCCTCCTGAAATATCTCCGTATGTACTCACGGGCGCTTTGTCCATTAATTAATATACCATTTGCTTTCCTAAAAAAAAAAAACTAAATTAAACCGAACTGAAGTGAAATTTTAAAACATAAGTCCATTAGAAGTTAGAACAAGGCCGATTTGTTCGAATGCTCCCCGACGAATTTTATTTTTATTTATTTTACAATAGTATATTTTTCATGAAAACAAAATAAAGGTTGTACAATTCTTAAAGAAGAGACATAATTGCTGTCATATTCATAGGAATCTGATCTCATACAGCTAGAGTACATGCATAGCATTCATCCTGATTGTGATATCACCAAAGTCTACTCCTTGAACATTATTTATTTTCCTGCTATTTGTTATTTTCTTCCTCATTTTATATATTTAATTTCATGCATTGATCAATTATTAATGTTATCAAACATAGACTTATTGACTATTATTCCAAATATCATATTAAGCTAAGTTAGCAGTGTAATTTTAAATTACTGCTACCCGATTAGATTATTGTTTAATATAATGCAGGCAGTACTAGTAGGAAAATTAAAAAATCATACAATAATCATCATAACATCATGATTACCATTATTAAGTACTAGAATTGGTCATATCTTTTGATCTAAACAGCTTTTCCCCTTCAACTTCATTAGCTAAACCACAAAACTTCTCCTCTGCAGTCCTGCAGAATTATTGTTTAATGTATCA